ACACACACACACACACACACACACACACACACACACACACACACACACACACAATGCAAAACAGCATTTCGCACGAAAAGAATTTTCTGTTTGGTCTTCCTCGACCTCCCTGTACCAGTTCACAAAACTGCTCTGATTGATTCAGTGGTAATTGAGTTTTTTCACTGACCCCTCACTTTTCATCAGGAGAAGAATCACACCTCAGCTGCAGAAATTCAGCTCTCTCCAGGCTGTGTTTATTCCTGACAGGTGGGCTGATTGCAGCTGCTTTTTTCAGTCTAACATGACGTCTTATTGCCATTACTTAATCCCCCCCCAAACCCCCAACCCACCCCTCCACCCCCTCCTCAGTCATCATCCTCTGACTCACTGAAAAGGGCGGATACCTCTCCCTCCTGTCTATCAGACTCAGCTGCATCCACACACACACACACACACACACACACACACACACACACACACCTTCTCTCAGTCTCGCTCCCTTTTCACATTCTCATATCCTTCTTTATGTGCTCCATCTTTTCTTAAATTTATGCACATTCTTCTCTCTCCTGATGCTGTCGGAACAGAAATGATGGAAGTCACACAGTCAAGATTTAAAGGATTTTCACTTTACCACCACCAGCCTGAGCCAATACCCTAAATCTAACCACAAGAACTAGAGGCTTTTACAAGTGAATACATACAGATCTTATTATTGCACTATAATACAATGCATGCTCAAGTGTTTCAGTTTTAGGGATTTACTGTGATCTATGTCGAAAACTAAAGCGGTAAGAAAAGATTACTACTTATATACTATACTTATTATAGGATTTTATTATTGCGGCTTACATTTTCCTTGGTTTGAGTGGATCAGTGTGGATGTGAGTGAGGGTTCATTCATGAAGTGACCCTGGACACAAACTTTAAGAAGTCATTTCCTCCAACTTTTTTCCCCCTTGAGCAACATATACTTTACTGTTTTTCCTCTTTCAATGACATCAATGACTTCAATCACTCTGTCCTGATTTACTGAGACTACTTGTAAGTTCTGCTGTTTATGCGGGAGTATAACAGCCTCGTACGGACCGTCAGCTAATACAGAAAAACTACGCTCAGACACCCGAAAGACCCCATGTGATAAATTGAATGACATCGGTACACCGCCGCCTCCACCACACAGAGCGCAGATAGGGGAGCTGAGACACAACATGAATTATTCTTGTTAATAAAAATTCATGAACATGTGTCTGTGCATGTGTTTGCTTGTGCTTTTATGAGTGTGTTCTGTGTGCGTGCAGCCGCAGTATTCATAGTGTATTATCAATGCTTATCTCTCAGTAGGAGGCTTCCAGAAGAGAAATTGATGACCAAAAAAAAAAAAAAATTAATAATAGAATAGAATCAGGCTTATACAGATGTTTTGGCAACTATTTATTCAACAATTTCCATTTCATACATGAGAACGAACCTCTAAATTAAATATAATAAACCCCACAGATAATGGGAGAAAAACACCTCCATTATGGTGCTATATATCGAATCAAGCCCTCTCAGTACAGCTTGATATGAAACCCCTTATGTCACCAAGGTACATCAGAAGCTGAACTAACGTGTCTAGCTCTAATCCTGATCTTTACTGTGGATATCTTGTATTCAGTGAGTGATAGTGCGTCACAACTCCTTCAATCTAAAGACTGATATACATAAAGATGTGTGTTGCTACAAGAAAAACAAGAAGACAAAAGCATTGAACTGCTTACATACCATAAGCTAAAATTAGACAACATTGTGTAGAAACACAACTATCATTATTGAAACTCATGATTATTTGCAGCATATTTCTAAATCTCAGTATTTCAAGTCAGTGATCATATCAAAAAACAGCTTCTTAAGTCTAATATCCCAATGACAGCGAGTTGACAGAATTACTGAAGAATCACTGGATAATTTTATTAACATCGTGATAGTCTTAAACTCAACAAATACATGGTGACAGCATATAGGGGCTAGCAGAGTGAGAAGTGCTCACAAGTCCCCCTTTTAAGACAGAAAAACAAACAAACTTAAAAAAAAAAATCTCTGAATGAAAAATATTCCTGAGATGCAAAACAAAAGAAAGAGATATAATGAAAAAACAAAACAAAACAGAACAAAAATAAAAAAACATTACTATATGAGATTGTGTCACATGTTGTTGTCATCACTGTGACAGCATTGAGATTGGGCTGTTTGATTCTAGTGTCAATATTGCAGAGGAACACAGTAGTGCGCTAAAGCCAAACTGTACAGCAAAGACATATGAAGGGTCAGAGGAGACAGGACTGGACTGGGCCATGTCATGCTATCATCACTGCTGTGGTAAACAAAACCATGACTTAAAACAAAATGTAAACCAACACCAGGTAAAAAAAAAAAGAAAAAAAAGGAAGAATTTTAGATATATATTATGACTCAAAGTGGCCATTACTTTCATATTCATCCCTTTACAATTAGGGGATTCAGAGTTGATATTTTTAGTTGGTATGGGCCTCTAATTTCCTGAGACTTGGGACAAGCGCTAAAAACGCTATAGCGCAGACTTGGGGCGGAACGCACGGTGAAGTGCGTGTGCCCTGACTGACTGCAGTGTTTTGTGACCAGATGTGCTCCAGGGGGAGTGCACTGTGGTGAAAAGTCTGCAGCAGGATGAATACACAATGCGGCATCAGCCAAGTGGAGTTTGGACAAGCTTCAATAATCACCAATCACACGAGCTCGTCTCATCCCTCTTTGAAAGCAGCAGACAGGCAGGAGCAAGCTGGAGGTGCAAGGCACAAATAAACAGCCCCCCACGTATGCATCCGAGGATGTTCTGATGTCCCTTTTTTTAATCTGAATCTATATTATTTTATATGATAATGATGTCAGTGCACTTAGTCAACACTGACAGTAGCTTGAAGTATAATAAAGTTTGTTTTTTTTATTTTTATTGTCTTTTGCCTGGAGCACACACATATGATCCCTTCAGCTGAAACACAATGATCCTAGAATCTGCTGCTTGAATCACATTAAAAGATGTATTTTATATGTATTTAAATCTGTTTTAGATTAAATCTGCATTAGATTAAAAAAGGTAGTTAACAGAGAAAGAGGCAAAAAGTCAACACACATAGAGGGTTTTTTTTTTTTTTTGTGATTTTGTACAGGTCTGTATGTGCCTTCAACAACATGAAAAATGTTCATAAAATTGTATGCAATTTTATGCCAAAATTACGACCAGTATGCACTGCTTAATCTGCAGGAACACATAACCTCAGCTGCATCACTCCCTCCTTCAGTCAAAGAAAGTGGCTTCATTTGGAGCCAGGAAATGACCAAACAGAGACGAGTCTAAAGAACAACAAGAATGCCACTGTGACGACGTCAGTGCCATCACTGTCTTGCCGCCAGGATGAAATTAGAGGCCCATGATGTTGTGGATATTAACTGAACCGATATACATATAGGAGAGCAAGGAGGCAACAAGTTTAAAGCTTAGTTTCAACCAACAACAACAAAGAAAGACGACTTGTAACTGACCCCAAGATGTAACACAGCTACAGTTGATTCTATCACAGTAAAATAGTGCATGATGGTATGTGCCAGGCTGTTAAAATAACAAATTAAAAAAGATTCAGGTTTGGTCTAACTATTATAAAAAGCCATTTGGGACAAATTAGCTCATTACTGTCATGTCCAAAACAAATATTTACATGTGGTTTTCAGAACAAACAAAAAAAACCAAAAAAAAATAAACACATTTCACCACTTACTAAAAAATACCCATCAAATTAGTCAGAGTGCATAATTCAGTAAATGGCACCTGTTTCATTTCTAATGCAAACACCAACTCATCACTGCAGACCTGGTTATTTATGAGTGTCGATTAAATATAAAACAGCCTGTTTCTCTGTCTTCAGAATCAACAAATCCACTGGACCACTCTCTTATTTCCGAGATGCACACACAGATGTAAAGCAACTGAAAATGTGAATTTAAGACACAGTGAAAAGAAGTAGATAGAAAAAAAAAAAAAAAATACATTACATCATTGTGATTAATAGATCGGTTTGTTAAGACAAGAACCAGTCCAGAACACTTTAGTCAGGATCTACTGAAGGTTTGTGGTGAGGCTGAAGTTACACCTGTAAATGGTGTATTGATTGAAGTGCACTAAAATTGTTAAAATAAAATAAATAAAAAAAACTGTGGCAAAACTGCATTAAAAAAACTCCAAAATTTTACATCAGTGGTGACAGGCATCAATCAAATGATTCCCAACTTGTGATTCACTCCAGCACTGCTTGAGTTATAACACATGGAGAAAGACCTTACTTGCTGACCTCATTTGCATAATGTTGTAAATTGGCCACTGAATTGGAGACAGCTGGGCCCACTATTTTATTGCCCTTGGTAATATTTTGCTCCCATTTAGCAGATTAGTGCCTTGCCTTTAAGTCTTTCATTTCAGAGGCCACGGCGCTTATTACTCTTTCACAGGAGAGTAAATCAGCACAAATTCCTGCAAACTGATGAAAGACGAATGGCTGGGACATATGAAAAGAAGTTGTTTACTGGGATATGTTACGTCTGTCTCGGTGTATGAAACTTTCTTTGCCTCCTACATAAACGTGATGTTTCTTTCAAGACATTTCAATTCCAATTTGCATTTTAAGGATTTGGCGAATACAGATGCACATTTTCTCCTGTTTCTGTGGACAAAAGGCCACTGGACAGGACACCCTTTTTCTTTTTTTTTTTTTTCCCACATTTGTTTCACTGAATTTTTTCAGTTTTTTTCTTTTTTGTCAATCATATTTTCTACAACACCAAATCCTTTAGATGTGTAGCACCGAAGAGCATGCCACAAACACAAGAAGCCACTGTTCTCCAAAGTAACAAATATACTTTCATTGTGGTTCTCTCTTAAATAACTTCAGTTCAAATGAATTAATCATGATAAAGAACCAAACAAAAACATGCTAATGTGTATTACCAAAGTTTAGTTCTCACACATTATATACATGCCTTGTGCCAAAACAAAATACATTTGTTTAAAAGATTTCCAATAAGGATTATGCAATGAAAAATGATAAAAAGTAAATAGATAAGGTGGCTAATATACAAATTTGAAGGAGTAACGGGAATCCAGAATTTAACAGCAATTTTCACAATTAACCACATTTTAGCAGACACAATATACAGCAGGGAGCTTAGAACCATTTAAACCAAAAAATATTAGAAACATTTTTTTTTTCAATAAAAAAACATGATTCAGTTTACATTTTCAAAAAGATGCACTGTATTTTTCTTCTAGAATTGACTCAAAGACAGCCTTGTCTTCTTCCCACTACCCATTTGAATAGAAGAACCATTCCCAGGGTGAACTAGTTGTTGGCAAAGGAACACAGTTACTCATTTAGACATTTTTGTGCTTCTCTTTTGTCTTAAGTTAGAAGTTTTAGAAAGGAGGCCCCTGCAGATCTATGACCCAGCGCTCATACACTATTTCCCTTTTTTAATCTTTTTTTTTTCCTTTTTTTCTTTTTGCTTGAAGACCCCATGAAATGAAAATCAAAATACAGTTCATGGAGAACGACTCTGACAAAAGTGAAATAAGAAAAGCAGTTCTGCAGTTTGAGAGGTGGCCGTGGATGATGTGTTGGTGATTTCTGCACTTTAACTAAATTGTTAGAAACTAGTTCAACAGAAATTTAAAAGTGACGATACAAAGGAAAAAAAAAAAATGGATATAGTCAAACTGATGTTTCACTATTTGTATTGAGCTATAATATGATTGGTTGCTTATCCAAGAGCCAGTAAATGAACAGAAATTTGTATACAAACCACTATGGAAAGCTGCCTGGACCTCAAGTTTACAAGAGGTATCAATCAAAATGACATTACTGAAAGGAAAGGAAAATTTATTTGACACTAAAATTCCTGTACATACCAGAACTGTGTACTTCTTCTTCTTTTTTTTTCAGCCCGTATTAACTCCTAATGGTTTATTTTACATTTCACAGGGTCTTTCAGCCTTAAAATGATTTCAACATGACATAAACATAAACAAAATTCTTCAAAGAGAAAAAGCTAAACTCACTTCAATACAATTTATACAGCTTTTAGAGAGAGGAGATCGACTCTTTCTGTACACCTGAACCCTTTATGTGAAGAACAAACTACTGTAAGCTGTCAAGAGGACATTGAAGGTGTTGGCGTTTTGCTAAACTGCAGCCTGGACAGTGCAGGAATATACAGACGAAAAGTACATAGGGACAGCAGATTTAGCAAATGGTTTTATATAACTGATTGAGTTCATTTGATGGAATGCTTCATCTAGCATCTTTCATATATTTTTGGTGTGTGTTCTCTGTTCTAAACAATACCACATTACCCTTTATTACCCCTACCCTAATAATGAAAATCATATTATACACTTATCTGACAAATCTTGCTACAGTGTTACACAAAACCTTCATCTTATCTTACAAGGGTCAACTGTTTAATTACAAGTCTATTTAGAGGGGACGGAGTTGGGGGAGGTGGAGCATCTAAAAGTACCGTATTCAGTGTGATAGACATGTATAAGGCGTAAACAGCAAAGATCTTCGTTCAAATAATAATAATTAAAAAAAAGAAAGACGCAATGCATAATCAAAAGCTGTGAGCTAAGCAATGAAATGATGGTCCAGGTAACCATCTACAAAGCATTTACATTGCTACTGACAGACGATACATGAAGGCATTGACAGAAGTTCAATGGCGTCTGTATTTTTAGGCACCGTGTTGATGTGAGTTATGATATGTGTTTGTGGACGTGTTTGAACAAAGGGGATATAGTATGTGTTTGGGTGTCTGCTTTGAGGGGAAACAGGAGAGAAGATGGACAAGGGGTGTCATGTAAGAAGCAGTCATGGTAGATACACAGATTTCCAGGAATTCATGTCAAAGATGAGGAAAAGTATGACAAAAGAGAACCACTTCAGCAGCAAGCTGCCTGTGAAAACTGGCTGCCAAAAAGAAGAAGAAAAAAAGAAAAAAAGAAAGAAAGTAAGAAAGGACAAAATGTAAATGATAGAAATGGGCTCAACAAAAAGGCAATAACAGGAAAACACTTGGGGAACTTCTCTGTCTGTGGACTGCCTGCGGGTTCCTCGTGGTCACGATGGGGGCAGTGGTCAGAGGTGGAGAAGAAAAAGAGGGAGACAGCAAGAGAGAAAAAGAGATACAGAGACTGAAAGAGGAAGGGGGGGGGGGGGCTGCATAGCTCCCCCTGCAGTCTAAATGAAGTATTCTTTCTTTTCTTCTGCGTGTGCATGGTTGCCCTCAGCATTGATGATGGCTGTGTCGGCGTCGGGCGCATCGTCCGCTCCTTTGGCTTCGTTTGTCAAGTATGTTCCTGAGGAAACGCAAAAACAAATCTATATCAAGGAAAACAAATACTGAGCAGCCCTGCGTGACTGTTGCTGCCTTAGGCGCAAAACACATCTGAAGACAACATCAGCAATGCTACATTATTCATATACACAGTGATGAGAAGCCAGGATAGTGCGGGATATGTAAATACAGGAAAGAGTAGGTGTGTAAAACCCTGCATCAACAAACACCTTTGGTGTTCTCAGTAGTAGCAGTAAAGGCTTCAAATTGTGTCTCCAAATAACATGATGCAGTTCTCTCAGTATAAGAAATCAATTTTGTAGCATCAGTGTTGGAAACTGACCATTAACGTTGAACCCCAGGCTCTTTTTGCTCATTGCTGTCTCTCTTTTCTCTCTTTTTTTTAGCAGAGCTGATAAATGTTTAAGTCAAGTGTTACTTTGAGAATAAGTTTGGCTGCTCAGAAATGCCATCAAATCAAATCAATATGCATGTGAGTCGTACTATACTATGCTGCTGGGACTCTCTGGGCCTTAGAAATGTCAAAAAACACATGAATACTTCTACATGAACAAAGTTAATATATCTTTTGGGTGGATGAAAATGCCCTACATTTCACTTTCCTTAGTACTTTGGGGGATGTAAAGAGGAAGTTTATCACCATAGGCTGTGTCTGAAATCACTCACTACTCACTATATAGTCCACTATATAGTGAGTTCGCCATTTTATAGTGTTGTCCAAATATATAATGACAATTATTAAACCCTATATGGTGGACTCATAGGATCCCACAATACATCATGTAAAGTATTGTACAACCGATGGTCACTAACCAAGTAATATACACCATCATGCATTGCACTCTTGCTGATAGACAGAGAAACTGACCCGACAGTGTCCGAAAGTGTTTTTCCATTTCATGGATCAGCTCACTGTATAATCATCTACTTAGACGTCCCTGGATAGTGAGTAGGGAGAATGAGTGAGTGATTTCGAACACAACCATGGATTCAGTGAGTTGAGAAGAACATGAGAAGATGAGAGCCACAACCTGCTCTAATTTTCCTTTGGCCTATATTTGTTTATATTTTTGGAAAACTGACACCATTAAAAGTAATAACCAAAATTAGCTATTATCAGTTTCAGTTTGCTGAATGTACCCATGGATGTACAGACAACTTAGTGATTCTCAGGTGAGCTCCAGAGCAACAAAAGGGGCATTTCTCTGACTTCTATGTGGATTTGTGGACATTTATTTTTGCGATGGATAAAATAATAACATCTTCAGAAAGTTCAGGTTCCACTGAATCTGAAAAAAATATGTATCATGTCTGCATGTTCAGATTTGACTGAGTTATGACTCTATGAATAAGCAAAATTTGACCCAAAATGCAACAATCATTGAAAAAAAGTAGAAATAATAACTCAATGAATGCTGTGTATACACTAGTGGCATCACACTGTGTGTCATACATCAGATGCACATGTCCATCAATGCCTCTTATGTGTGCAGGACTTAGGCCTTCTTCTCCACTGCAGGTGTGTCATACTTGGCAACATGGGAATTGGGGAAGGACTCTGATGTCTAATGGGACAAGTATGACATGCTCTGCTAGTTCCATGAGCCATGAGAGACTCAGGTCTGGTCCACTGTGGTTTTACCTTTATGCCTGGCCAGGTATCTTCCCAGAACAATGATTAAACACAAGGTGACAAAGACCACTACAGCCACCACTCCTCCGATCAAGGCATGGTCAGTGCCGTGCTGCCCCAGAGCGTTGGGATCTGAGGGAAGACAGAGAGAGAAACAAAGAGAGCAGATGATGGCGTCGCCTGGTTCGAGGGCAGAGTCACAGCGAGAGGCAGACAATACAAAACAGCGAGAAGGAAAGGGAAGATTATTCCCAGCTCGTTCCTGATCTAATGATTGTTCTGAGCTGCTGTCATTCCTCCCTCCTCTCACATCATGCAGTCAGAGCAGAGCTGCCTGGCTCTCTTAGAATAATAAGAGGGAGAAAGAGAGAGGAAGAGAGACAGATACCACACTGAAACAAAGAGCAGCTACAGGCAGAGACACATTCACCCTGCAAAATGAAGGAAAAGAGAAAATGAAAGAAGGACTCAAAAAAAATTGAATAATTCAGGACCCCCCCCCCCCCCCTCTACTGCACCCCCCATCCCTCTTCCCCCACTGTGCCGCAGGAGTCCCCAACATGCAAACCAGGGCAGCAGAGAAAGGGTAGTACACAGTAAATAAATCATCACACCAAAAAAAAAAAAAGTAAAAAAAGCAAAGATCAATCTTTTTCTGTTTCTTGGCGAGGAAACATTTGTTGTTAGGAAAATGAATTAGGTGTTAGAGAGTTGCTACAGGTCCGTAACTGTTGGAAAAGCAGTAGAAAAGACAGGGAAGACACTGCATGATTAGCTTGTTCACGCCTCATGCAAAAACCCATACGAGGTTACCATTTCTTTCAACAATACCTTATTTCCTTTATTCACATTAGTCACTTCCTTTTTTTTTCCAACAAAGTCTGACTTTTAGGCTCCTCAAGGTAAGAGTAAGGATGTGACAATGACAGTGTACCGACCCGCTGTAGGTGAATCTAAAAAAAGTTGACAGCGACAGCAATGGGGGAGATGGGTAACGGAATAGCCTGTATTATTCATATCAGTCCATGACACCTGAGAAATTAGCACTCATCTCATTATCCTCCTCTGAGTGCCAGGGCATGCCATATACAACCCTGTCACTTTGTGTGTGTATGTGGGCTCATGATAGCTTAAATATGGCAATGTCAGAGCAGGGTGAGCGGTGATAGAAGGGCGGTTTAGACATACAGCACACGTCGCATATTGACGTGTTTTCTCTTCAGTATTCTCCTTTTCTTTCAGAGTCCGCCCATGTGGCCAAATTGAACAGCTGGCTTGCTCTCGCCCCATAACGCTCCACGGTCTGAGTGACCAGGCCGTCACACTTCACCGCTTCCAAGTGGACAAATACACACTCATGCCGACACATGCGCTCACACACACACACACACACACACACACACACACACACACACACACAGACAGACACAGACATGCGGAGCGTGGTTTCACTGCGCTGCAGTTCTGCTTGGTCAGTGGAGCAGAGAGTAGAGGAATGTTCCCCCGGCGCGGCCCAGCAGGGCGAGGACTCAGGCGTTTAGTTACACACATGGCTGTGTCTCTTCACCTCTGTCTGTCAGTATAGTGAGTGGTTTTCACTATCATACACACTCGCTGTCGGACTGCTGCACTTCACTTCAGCTGTTACAACCCAGTGCAGGCACAAACAAGCCATGACCATACAGTCATATGTCTGCCTGTTGAGGACTATACACTTTGGCCATGCAATATGCTGGTGTCATGTCCAAGTGGTCAGGCTGTGAGCCAAATCCCTAGACGCTTCTAGAACATGCTGTCTGATCGCACTGCTACTGCATCGCCGTTGACCTTAAAGGAACACTCCGCTGAAAATCTCTCTTCTGAGTAGAATTGAGAGGATTATAGCTTGTGCCTTAATGGTGAGGTGAGGATAACCACTGATGGCAGTTTGTATAGTTTACAGCGGTGACCTCAAGTTATGGCAAAAAATATGTCAAAAGTATCAATGCATCCTGCAGGATAATCCTCCTTTTGGCCGGACCACAACCGCAGGGCCAGCCCTATAATCGCAAATGTCGCTGACTGGCTGACCGACTGACTGACTGACTGACTGAATGATTATATTTCCACCACTGGTCTGCCGAGCCGCAGTCCTCCAAGCCACTCTTGTTTTCCCGGCTGATGGGGAACTGCAGGGAAGAGGAGGAGGAGCACTTCCAATACACTGAGCCTCACCTTCATTAAAGCAAATAAACTACATTCATTACATGTAATATTATTACTAAAGGAGGCAGAGGAATAACTAAACATAAGACGCACTGAGCAGAGAGAGCAGGAGAAAGAGAGGGAGAGAGAGAAGTCATTGGTTATGAGGCTTCATACTATGACCAGTTCTGTATATCAAACAGAGGGAGTTAGACATAAAGACCTGCCCCTAATAAAAGTCTGTTATGTTCTGGAGTTATAAATGAAGGCTAAACTATTGTGGATCTCAGATGGAGGCTGTGCTCTGTTTGAGAGGCAAAATAAAAAATAAAGTCCATTTCAGACTAGTCCTTGCCCTGGGGGCCTGGGTTCGAGTCCGGACTGTGGCAATTTGCTGCGTGTCATCCCCTTTCTCTCACTATGACTGTAATAAAGGCATTAATTAGCCTTAAAAAAATAACTTAGTAGGATAGTCTGTCTCCTCTAACTTTCTCTCTGAGTGATAATTTCATAAGCTGCAGCTCAGTCTTTTTCTTTAATTTATGTGTTTGGTGGTCTTTGTCAGACGACATTGCAGTTATAAAATCAGGATTTGACCTTAGGTGGTCCAGCCATATACTAGGTTTTGACCTAGTCTTGTTCACTGTTGATTGTATGTTCAGTATGTTTCAAACACTCATAGACTGCCACCAACTTTGCTAAAAAAAAACCCAATATATGCTATTAATTCCTCATAGCTCCAAAGCTCCACCATATATTTAATGATTTACTGGAAAAGTAGCAATTTTCTTCCACAAACTCAGCATACAGATCAATGGCAGGGAAGCTGATTATGCTTCAGTAGTGGTTTGAGATGTTTTGATGCATTGTTGTTTTGTAGCTGCTACCAAGCTGACAACTCAAGTCGCAAGTTGTCTTAACAATTTAATGGGGAACTGCATCGATCTTACCCACGTAAGGGACTGCATATACTGCATAGGTTAAAAAAAAAGTTGTCTAAAGCCTTTTACAGCGACAGAGAGAGCTGCTCCAAGTCTGATAAATCGGCTCAAGGGATGTCACTCATGAAGCAATGGGAGCCTGTGACATAAGGTCGTCATAATTTACAACCTGTGAATACAATAAAATATGAGAGCCTCCGCCTTGAGGTGCAAAACATGGTTTATGTATTGTGTTCATATGCATTCTGTTCTAGTCCACTGCTACTCGCGGAAGGAAAAAAAATACAGCAAGGGTGTACAAAGACACACTGAGAAAGGAAATGAAAAAATAGAGATTAATGGACAGGAAATGGCTGAAACTTCAGTTGGAGCAAGACGGAAAAGGAAAGACGACAAAGAGGAGAGGGATATAGAGTGGAGGGTTATACATTTTTATGGCTCTAGAACACATTATCTTTTAATAAGGGCACATACATTCTTCTCTGTGTGATTTAATATGAGAGCGTCGCAGAGCAAACTCCTCTTTTAATATTTATAACACTCTCCTTGTCGCCTGGCCTTGCGAATTGGGCTTGTTTAATAAGTTAAAGGGGTTCAGGGCTTCTGTGAGCCACTACTTGACCGGTCTGGACCAAAAGTGTTACTCTCAAACTGCCCCACTAACTCCTCATCTGATCCGTTTCACTGAAGCTGGCTCCATATGGAGTAACTGTCAAAGGATATGTGACAGCAATACGGTGTGGATTTTCAAGAATGCTTACTGGCTGAAAATGAAAAGAATGGATTGAATGACATTCTGCAAAGAATGCCAAGTATACTATACATTAAAATAAAAGTATGTGTGATGGCCGCTCTGCAACGATTCACTGTTCCTGGCTGAAATGTGACTAAACTAAACAATCGTTAGTCCTCGATCGGTCCGAAAAAGTTGGTACACAGAGTTGGAAACTACACAGCCTAATTCCTGCAAAATCATACATGAACCTGTGAACTCTAGTTTGTTCATTCTTGCATAAATGTGAATGGGAAATCTATTAACTGACTTGTTTAGCTGCTTGGGAAATCAACTTATTGGATGTCTGTATTTAACATGTGCCCTTATTTCGTTCTTCTAACGCCATATTTTCTCTCAAGTGTCTGAAGAACTTCAGAGGAGAAGTTTCCCATCCTGTGAAGTATTGTTACAGCAATTCTTGGGCCTGACTGTACACCACCCTCTGTACTGCCTTTCATCTAAAGCCATCTTTTAAATTGACAATTTCAACTGATCAGACGCAGTGTCCTTGAATCAAATCAGCATGCTAGTCAAATGCTATTTACATACTGTAGCTTAACATACATTTCTGCCTCTCTTGCTCTTCCCCTCTTGGTATTACATTCTTTAATATTAAAATTCATGCCCTACGGGCATCTTTTTCTTCTTTTGGATTATGCCCTTTTCCTCTCTCAATCTCAGATATTGCTCTGTGAAGCAATGGTTCCAGTTGCTCAGATCAATAAAGCAGCAGCTAGCTTAAGCATGGGCTTATAGCACTGCAGTGTCCTTGTGTCTGTGCTGTGGGTCAGGGAATCTTTGAGTGAATGTGTGTGTGTGTGTGTGTGTGTGAGTGAGTGAGAGAGTGAGAGTACATCATTACTCTTCAATAGACAATATTAGTTTGAGTTAATATGAAGTCAGATTTTTACATGCATGAGAAACACAGAGAAAATCTTTGGAAGCCCTGGAAACTAAGGGGCGACTTTTACAGACTTTTTTTTAGCAGCTATTATGAAATTTATTGCTTTATTACCAGATTATTATTCCTACATAAGATATAGCCTTGTAACCTGACAAAGAATCCGACCAAAACAAAACATAAACAACCATAAAAACCTCTCCCGACAACAAAGAAATGAACTCTTTACACCTTGCATGCAAGGGTTTCTATAATTTTATGTTTGTCTTTTTTCATTTTTTTTATGAAAACAATGTGCCCAGCAATAGCTTTTTTATTTGAAAACCCTTCA